GCCAAGAGCCGGTGCGCCTCCCGAGCGCGGGTTCATGCCACCCTGGACGGCATCTTTCCGCAGGGAGGTCGGGAGGCCCAGCATCTACAGAGGGGATTTCACCTTTGCGTCTTGGGCACGGAGGGCCAGCCGAGTTTGCAGAAGTTCCACTTGCTGTTTCACTTTGGTTGCCATGAAGATTTCATGAGTCAATGCAAATAAAGCGCCTACATTGTCCATGGCCAGCCCTCCACATAGTTGCTACCTCTTTAGGGGCCTGGGAAATGCGCCCGAGAGGTGGCAACTGAGGCTGACCTACCTCTTTCACGTCCCTCCCCCACCCTTTTTGGGACGCCCTGGGCCAAGGATAGGCACCTGCAGCCTCACACCACAGCTCCCCGCCTTGGCATCCCGCCCATCCCTGCAAACCAACCCCCCCCCCCCACACACACACACACACACTTTCTAGTCACCCTGGGTGGTAGGAGTAGAACTTTCCTTACAAATTCGGAAAGAGAAGTGAAGATTTTTGTAGATTATTTGAAAGTGGCTCCCCAAGAACTGCCGCCCCAGGGAGGGGCCAGGATGCTGTTTCCCTCAGGGTTTTCAGCCTCTTGCCTGGGTCCTGACCGGGTGCTGGCCAGTCCTTCCCCCGCAAGTTTATGGTCAGCTTCCAGTTTGTTACTGGAAAACCTTCGCAGTCCAACTTGAGCTTGAACACTGTCCTTTCAGATTTGTCCTAGGAGGTTAATGACTGTTAATGTGAATAAAAATAATAGCTTATATTATGTATAATACACTTTAGATATGTGCTATATCTACTTAAGTAGATACCAATATATATGTATATATACACACACACTATATAGTACATATTATATAGCATATGCTAAAGATATACTACAGGGGTGGGCAAAAGTAGGTTTATGGCTCTGAGTATGTGAAACAAAGTTTATTCTTGTATTATTTATTAATTATTATATCATTTTCCATATAAACAACTGTAAACTTAATTTCGCCCACCCCCTGTATATGCAACATACACTCTATGTTGCATAACATGTGACATAGTATATCAATGAAAGCTTTCTAGGGCTTGTGATAAACCAGCCACTAAGCCAGACATTTTACCTAAATTTTCCCATTTAGTTCAGTCCAACAACAAAAAAAAATCAATGAATAAATAAAATGAAGCTTAGAGAGTTAAGTAATTTGCCTAATGTTGCAGACCTTACTTTTGGCTCGTGTGGGATTCAGACCCAGATTTTAAATTCTAACTTAGGCCCTTAATATATACCTCCATATACACAGAGCTATAGCACATCACCTTTTCTTAAGCCAGGAATATCTCAGAATATTGGAAATATTCCTTAAACTGGACTATCTCCCAGAGGTGGGCAGGATCAGTATGTGTGGGGCTGAGATGGAAATGTTGTTTATGTGCTAATGGTAGTAAAAGAGAAGGGCCCAAAATAGAAGATCTATTTAGCTCGCCACTGCGTGCCTTGCTTCTGGCAGGGGTTGGCACATAGTACATGCTCAGTAAAGCATCCCTCCTCTTGCATGCCAGCTGCTGAGTCATCACCCCTCTGTGTTCTTTTCTTTCTTCTTCTCTCCCAGGGATGCTCAGGGAGAAAGGAACATATTTTCAGACTTGCTGGTTTTTCACATGAGCTGAGATGTGCTGCTTTATAAACACCAAGCAGATGCTTGGAAAGGCAGGCAATCATTAGTCTCAGTGGCACGAAAATCCCCGTTTCAGGGAAATTGGTTTCTCATGTCCAGCGGAGAAAGTCCCCACTGACTTTACACTGGATCGCAGAGGGCAGCAACACTGGTTCTTTGAAGCTTCGTTGACATCGACACACACCCACCCTTGAGGAGGTGCAGCTAAATTCAAAATGACGACTTGGAGCCCAGGCCCAGCCCTCACTCTCCCTCACTTGGCGGCTACCCTGGCTCACTACTTAGTCTCTGTGAGTCACCGCCAGGGATCCTGCCGGGAATTACTGATGAGAGATCCCGAGTGTCTCAGAAGTGCGCGCCGTCATTACTGAGATGGGCCCAGGCCCTGCTTGGTTCTGGGAAATCTTACCAAGACCTGAAGGGATAATTATACTCCGGCCCTCACACCAAGTGACCACCGATGACAAGATGTCTGTGCGTTTGCATGTGTGATGAGGGCAGGGCGGGTGGAGGAGTCCGTAGAAGGGCAACGTCAGGTTTCTCTGTGCTGAAAACACAAAACTCTTTCAAAAAGCTCCAACAGTAATGAGGTTCTGCGCTCTGAAGCTTTGGCGAATCTTGGGTGTGAGTCCTAGACCTGCTTTCTGGTTGTGGAAACTTGGAGACTTACTCTCCACATCTGTGGAAGGGGCGGTGTTGGAACCGACCTCAGTAAAGCTCAAGCTTCATGGAAATAGGAGTCATAACAGTAGCCTACTCCCTGGGGTTGCTGTGGGAATAACACACACACAGCAATGTGCTCTGTCAATGTTACCCCATAGCGTCACTGCATCACATGCCCCGGTTTTTGCAAACTTCATACAAGAGAAACAACTTAGATGTGTCAATTACTATTTCTTGTGTTCAACTTATTATTGCAATTTTGACTCAGGAAACCGTATCCTATATAATAAAGAGCTAATATGCTCATTTGTCCGTTACAGTGTCCGAGTCATGACCAGTCAACGGGTTGCACACTCACAGGAGGTGGGGACTTCCGCCCCCAGCGGAGGCTCGCCCAGGCCTGCCCAGCGCTAAGGTCCCGCCCAGTGCTGAGGTGATGCTGTCTGCCCGCATCCCTGGCCAGGGACGTGACGCTGCCTGTCTGTGTCCCTGACCAGGGATGTGATGCTGTCTGCCTGTGTCCCTGACCTCGGATGTGATGCTATCTGCCTGTGTCCCTGACCTGGGATCTGATGCTGTCTGCCTGTGTCCCTGACCTCGGATGTGATGCTATCTGCCTGTGTCCCTGACCTGGGATCTGATGCTGTCTGCCTGTGTCCCTGACCTCGGATGTGATGCTATCTGCCTGTGTCCCTGACCTGGGATCTGATGCTGTCTGCCTGTGTCCCTGACCTCGGATGTGATGCTATCTGCCTGTGTCCCTGACCTGGGATCTGATGCTGTCTGCCTGTGTCCCTGACCTCGGATGTGATGCTATCTGCCTGTGTCCCTGACCTGGGATCTGATGCTGTCTGCCTGTGTCCCTGACCTCGGATGTGATGCTATCTGCCTGTGTCCCTGACCTGGGATCTGATGCTGTCTGCCTGTGTCCCTGACCTCGGATGTGATGCTATCTGCCTGTGTCCCTGACCTGGGATCTGATGCTGTCTGCCTGTGTCCCTGACCAGGGATGTGATGCTGTCTGCCTGTGTCCCTGACCTGGGACCTGTCGTTGCCTGACTGTGTCCCTGACCTGGGACATGACGTTGCCTGACTGTGTCCCTGACCTGGGATGTGATGCTGTCTGCCTGTGTCCCTGACCTGGGACGTGACGTTGCCTGCGTGTGTCCCCCCTAGCGCAGAGCTGCTCTGGTGTCTTGGTGAACTTTGCAACCGATCCAAGGAGGAAACCGAGAGGGGAGAGGCCAGGAGCTGTGAATTCCCAGCACTTTAGTCACTTGAAAACAGCTCCACTTGGAATGCAAGGCGGCTGTACATTCAGCTGAGAAGTGAGGGAGCTGAACACCACGTCGCAGGGCTCCGGTTGGTCCGAGGCCCAAGTGCCCACCATGACAAGGAAAAAACAGAGGGAGGGGCCTGGAGGAAGGGAAGATAATCGAAGGAAACGTGTCTAGACTTTCCCCCGCCCTCTCCTTCTTTCCGCTGCCTACAAAAGTCCCAGGCTCGGCCACAGTTCTGTCTCCACCTTTTAGTCCCCTATTCTCCAACCACAGAGGAAAGAAATAAGGAAGGAGTCCATGCTGCCTCCAGAAAGTATCTATATACCTGATAGGCTGGTAGCCTCCCGCAGAGGGAGGCCAGACTGCGGCTTAGGCCCGCTCCCCATGGGACATCCATCAGTAGGACATCCTGTGAGGGCTCCCAGACTGTGAGGAGGGGCCACCCAGGCTGAGGGACCGCCACTCCCCCATGCACGAATTTTCATGCACCGAGCCTCTAGTAATTAGATAAAGCCAAAGGCAGGTTAGCAAAGAAATGCTGGCGGGTTCCCTCTCCAGCGCAGCCACCCAGGAGCCAGACAAAGCAGGGGGAACTCCCTACCAGCCTCAGGTCCCGAGTCTCCAAGTGCAGGTGAAGGCGGTGCCCGCCCAGCAGGGTTTTTCTGAGATGACCAAGCATTGGAGTCCCTGGCAGACAGTAAAGGCTCTAACATGTTATCATTAATGTTATTAAGAGCTACAGGAATTGGGTCCTCAAATATTCAGGTCATTATCTCTATTACATGGGCCTTGCTTCCTCTGATTGATTAGATGAAAACCTCCTTGAAATTCCAAACATTGTCTCTTAATTTTGTCTCTCCTAGTGCTGTTTACCTTGGCCAACACCCAATACAGCAAATGATAGCCAACTGATTATTGGTTATTTCCTCATTCCCAGTGAAAGGAGAAAGAGCAGTGCCAATACATTCTTTGTTTTCTGGGGAAGAAGTTGTTGCAGATCCTGGAGGGTGATTTGTGTGTCACATACACAGAAAGCATCTCGACACAACAAAAATATCAGTTTGGGTTTCGACAGCTTGAGTCGAAGCCATGGCTCCGCCACTTGCAAGC